TACCTATACGCAGAAGACGTCTTTTTTGATGCATCCAACAACCGACTACCAATAGCTATCACTGAACTGCAACGTAACGCTGATTCACTGACACAATGGGCTAAGGAGAACCGACTAAAAACCAACCCGACAAAATGCAATGAAATAGTTTTCTTCATTTTTACGAACAAATCATGACTTCCCCCCATTACTATTAACAACATCCCGCCACAGCGTAAAATGGAATCTGTCCAACTCGGGAACAGAACGGTTTTTCGTGTCCTACATGGGGGGATTCTTTATAAAACGGAATTCGTGCGAATTTAACGCGATTGGCAGAAACACATAATATTGTTAATGTAGTAAATGCACTTGCAAGTCTGTTTTAAATTCTCAATCCCACGCGATGTAGTCCTGGCAACCGCACTGTGAAGGAGAGGGGCTTCAGCTGACAGCGTAGAATTCCAACTTGGGGTCACTTGCCTCGCAAGACGAAGGCTGAAGGGGAATTCCCTCCCCCCTCCTCTCTGCATGTGGGAAGGTGTACGGGCCTGGCTACTATTCGCGTCTCTCCCTGCCCGATGCTCAAAACCGTAACACGTAACCCCTCGGCCAGGGTTTCATTGCTCAAGGCCACGCGAGGGTATCAGAAAATTATAGTACTCTGGGCTGTGACGCATTGTGTGAGATTTTATCCATTAGACAGTGAAATGGTGCGTAGTTTTATGAGTTTCACAGCCAGTTGAACAATGTAAAAACCATAAAACTCTAACATTCTCTAACATTGGATGGAAAGGTCAAAATTACGGAAGCAAGAGAAACTCAGATTCTGTCAATGAAGAATGTTTAATATTTATTTATTGGTAATTTCTTCCATCAATACGTTATATGTAAATCTATTTTAATAATCGTAATAAAATCATGTAATGTTTACTTTGCTTTAATACTACTTTACTTACATTCATTTACAAGATTCAGAACGGAAATATCAAAATCACAAGTGTCGTTAAATGGACAACCCTGAATAAAACCTCCCTAAACCGGAACTTTTTTGTCCTCATAGATTCCGGCTTAGATTTTTCTGTGTTATGTAAAAAAAATAATTTATTCATGTGACAAGCTAATAATGAATGTCTTGTGATGTAATATCAAGAACGATGTTGATGTTAATGTAATAAACTTTGACTGTCTATAAACAACATATGGAACTTATTGTATAATTTTGAAACTCAAGTTATGAGCCGTGTTAGAGCTTGAATGGACGACCACGAACATGACCTTGATATAGAGAAGACGGAGCTTGTTCTCTTGACAAGAAAGCAAGTTCCAACTCTAATTCCTATGACTGTCGACGCAGATGTTATCGGGACGAAAGCTTTCGGCAAATACCTGATCCTCACATTAGACACCAAACTCGCCTTTGGTGAACTTACGAAGACTGGCAGTATATTGATTGATTGTATAGTGATTCCGAGCACGTCAACTTCCAGGATCATTAGTCTGGAAAGTGTAGTGCATTTTTTGCCCGAGAATTGGCGATGATCTTTCACCCGCTGTATAGCGAGATCCGGCGCCGAACTAGCGTCAGCTAGTGGGGTTTCCCCCAACCAGGATACCTGGCCAGCAAGGCACCGCCCCAGCCGGGACAAGCTCTTAGCTCCCGACCGGTTTCCTGGCATGTGTGGTAGTTTAGTTAGTGGCATGTAATGTAAGTGTGTGTGTGTGTGCGCGCGCGCGTGGAAGGAATCAGGACAGCGCAAGGAAGAGGAAGGTGAGATCGCGGCGAGGGTGCTGCTCCGGCATTTGCCTAGTGTTGATCGGAGAAACATCGAAAAACGACCGATCAGAGCAGCCGGCCGCTAGAATTCTCCTCCAGTCAGCTATTGACTTCGACCTAGCTAACAAGATAGTGTCGAAAATCCTGGCACGGTCGGGACTCAAACCTCCTGGTCAGAGGCGCTGCAGCGACATCAGTTGAAGCCCTGAGACATCTCTCCCAGTCGGGCAGCAGCCTCAGAAGTGACCGAAGCACTCAGCAAGATCATGATAATCGTCGGACCAAGATAGAGCAAACAGCGACTTTTTTATCTCTGTAACTCACTCTGTTATGTTGTACGGATCAGAGACACGAGCAAATGCACTAGCAAAGGAATATTTCCGACTGCGCTTGAGTGCGGTGCAGAGGAAAGGAGCACTGACAGAGATACTTGCTACTACAGACTGTTCCCGACCCAGTAATGCTAGTGACGTCTGGAGTCGTACATCCATCTCCTTGCACTGGAGAGGAAACTTATCTGCCTCGCGAAGACTCATCTGGGAAGCCGACAAGCCCGTACAGAAGCAAGAACCATCGCAATGGAACGCTGGCAGATCAGTTGGAAAGCCAAGGAAATGGACGTTCGGGCTCATCCCGCAGATTGCAACTTGGACTCGACGAAACCAGAGCGAAATCTCTACCACGTGACACTATTCCTCCCTGCACTTGGATATTTCCGCAAATATTTTCACCGGATAAGGAAATAAATTGTGAGGGGTGTGTATGCTGCCACTCATAAATAGACGAAACCGAATACACTTTCTTCGTCTGAGAGAGGTGGACAAGGGACAGAAAATTGTTCACCCTCGTAAGAACGACGCACTGGGATTAATAACTACCGCCACCATCGTTGAGACGACGCTCAACAATGAAGAAAGTTGGTGCGAGATAGCCATCTACATCGATTTCTCGATACTACAAGACAGAAAACATCTTACGCCTACCGATGACGGCAGGGAGAAAACGAACCAGTAAGATGAAGAGCAAAGATCTCTGAGGACAAAAGATGAGACGTCATTCCAAAGTAATGCAAAAAGCAGTTCCAAAATGTATCTAGAAGAAAAAAGGTTCGTAGTTCTAGTGGATGAGAGTTCCACACTATTCAGAAGTGTTGTCCCTCCAGAATGTCCATTAGAATTTCCAGTTTCCCTTGTAATAATTAAAAACTTTTTATTATTATTATTATTATTATTATTATTATCATCATCATCATCATCATCATAATTATTAAAAATAGCATCTCTCAATAGTTCAGTTTTAACTAGTGTTAACTCCCAAAACTAAATAACTGTTACCAGCAATGATTGTTTACATTTTATATCCATAAAATGAATACAATATTTACATTGTATAATATTACGTATTAGTTTCATATCATAACAAATTCACTTTCTTTGTAACATGTGTTACTTACATAAATAATAAAAATGTTCTTATACAAAAAAATACGTAGTAATTGTCTTTTAGTATGATATTATTTTAGATTTGCCAGAAAATAAGGTTTTAATAAGAGTATCTATGTGATCTAGCAGCATATTTTCATGTTCAATGGTCAATATTGGGTTTTAGATGTTTTTGCTTTAAGTGGAAAATTATTTACAATGGATAAAGGAGGATTTGCAGATGATTGCCTCAGGTCTGAGAAAATATAATCATTTTCATTTTTTCCATGATGTTTATGATTAAGTATTTTTGAAATGTAACAATCTGGAAAGAAACATCTTGTTAAATTAGTGTCTGTTTAAAACCTGCCAAGAATTACTTATACATCAATCAGGTTATTAGGCATAGATTAAAGGCGATAAAAGTGGTAATAAGTAGTCACAATTCAAATTATACTGGAATAGGAATGTCATTTTAAAAAATTTAATGTAATTCTATTCTGGTCTGTTTATGAGAAGGTGCCTTTGCCATGTTGGCAAGACCCAAATAAAACATTTTATTGTATTTTTTTTATTACAATAACTTCCAATCGGTTTTCATGACATATGTGTACAGTACTATTTGTAAAAACATAGCAGTTCCATTCTATCTAAACCAAAAACAATCAACAAAAATTGAGAACAAACAATTATCTGAATTTGTTACATTTTGTCATATTTGTTAATCCATATTTTTTGATGTTCTTTCAACATTGTGACTTAATTATACTTTGTCAAAAGGTTAATATAAAACAGCTTTGAACATATCCAATGCATTTCAATTATGACAATTTATTAATATAAATAGTAGAAATAATGTATTGCCCTGAAATGAACTGTACAATGCAGAATTTATGTTAGAAATAATTATTTATTTCATAACAGGTTATTTTCCTAAGAATATTTTTTATTGGTACTCTTAATATTAATGTATCATATGTATATATCATATAATTGTTTTGTAATGTAATTTGAGGGTTTCTTTCAATGAAATGTATTCCAATGGAGCTTTCTTGCGTGATTAAAAAAATTAATGACTCGGATGTAAAAAGCCAAGTATGATGTTAAAATGAACATTTTCAACTAAGTAATTAAAAAGAATGAAAAATATGAATTAAGAAGCAAAGTAGAAAGAATTTTGAAATTCCTACACAAGATTAATTTGGAATTTCCGCAGGTTTAGCCGATCGAAACCTGATAGAAAATAGGATACGATTCAGAAATAATTTGTGCTACTGGAAACTGGACAAATAACACTTCTCGTTCTAACATCGAGAACCGTCTTTTAGATATACACTTTGTCAAGGGGTTCATATAAAACAGCTCTGAGCGAATCTAAAACATTTTATTTTCAAACACTTTTTAAATTAATTAAAACTGGCCGTTCTCATCGGATCTACGAAACAATACCATCAATCTTCACCATGATGTTAGAGCCTCTTACGCCGTTTCTTCACTTCATTCACCCATCTCATGACGTGAGACTCAGTTTGATTAGAAATATGATCCCAAAATCGATTTCGTTCCACGGTGAATAAAAACGCCGTCATCAGATGATCTTATCGCCGTCAAGATTCATCTTACACCGTTGCCATCATGGGAACTGTACCCCACGTGGCGTTGTTTAAGAGAATTCTCTTACACAGTGCACTTTTCGGAACTGATACGATGTTTTGGTTCTTGCTGTTATCGTTTTGAACCAAGGAGGTTATAATATATTATGATTCTTGGGCTTATAATATATTATAACCTCCTTGTTCTGAACGACTGGCGAAGTGAACGAATGTACACTCGGACAATCGATTCCGCGTTTGCTAATCATTGTCGCAGATGGCGTAGTTTATAGACTGTGAAGCTGTGAAGATGATTGTTGGTAGATAAATGTCGAGGGATTGGGATTGTAGATGCGAGATCTGTATTCTGTATACGCAGGAGCTATGTGTATATATCAGTAGCAACCAGTAGTATTCTTATTATTTGTTGTCATCGCTTTATCGCGATACCATGTCTGTATGGGGTAAAACCATGACGTCTCTTGGTTCCTTATTTACCCCTTTAGGAACTAGTGCGAGTCTAAAACATATGTTCGAAAGATGTGTGAATGCGCGAACGAAGAAGGTATTTCTTATTCAATGAAATTGATAACTAAATGTTTTGGGAGTTTAGTAAACACGGGTTTGTTTTGTGCTCACGAAGCATTAATTTTAATACTTTATACAGGAAGAAGAGTGGCTGATAAGAGATTGTCTTGAAGTTGTTGAAAGTCGACTTAAAGACCCGGCCGCCACTCCATACATGGTGGTGCGCGGATTAGCATTTGTTATATTTGCAAATATGTTAGGATACAAAAGTGAATTTGCTTCCACTCATGCCATCAGACTAGCGCAGTTAGGTTCCCTTCGTGAAAAGAAAATAGGTGTGTTAAGTAAAACTCCATTTTCCCCTCTTTTTCTTTAGTTCAATAAAAACTATTAAATGCTCAAGATTGCAACTTTTTTTCAGTGGCCATAATAATGCATAATAAATTTTACAGGATACTTGTCATGCATTTTCCTGATTAAAGACTCTGATCCTGTTTCTATCTTGATAATGAACACCATACAGCGTGATCTTGGGAGTAAAAATATCCTTGTTGTTGCCATGGCTGCCTCTGCTACCTGTTATCTTGTACCAAAATATTTGGCCTCAACAGTTCTGCCTTTACTGGCTGAGAAATTGCACCACCCAAGTGTAAGTAATTTCATTCTTACAGTTATTTGAATGTATAACTTGATATTGGAACTGTCAAGTTGAGTGGTCAAAACATTACAAATTGAGTTTTAGGGCGATTCTTTGACAAGTTTGATTGAACTTTTGAATAAATCATAAGCAGATAATATTATCAACCAAAAGTGGTGGCAGACATAGGCACAATAAAGAAATTTTCAAGTCCTTTTCAGGTTAATATAATTGTGTGTAATCTTAACAAGGATATATTAATAATAATTGCATATAACCAAAGAAGATTGCAAACTTCATGCAAAATGTTGGCTGTGCAACATGTAGATTCATTGAAATACACTTTTTTATTGTACCTATGTGTCATCATGTTTGGCCATTAATATTGCCAACTTTTGGAACACGACAGTCTTCAAATATGAAATGAGGGAGCTTAAATCAACTGAATCAAAGATTTATGCATAATGTTTAAAGGTTTAGAGAGATATATTCTTGGTCTGTGAAACATGTCAAATATTCCTAAATTGTGAATTGCCAATGATTTGATCTTGTGTTTGTGACAGTTTTTAGATTGAATTGAACTGAGATATTTTTCTTTCTGTTGTATGTAATTATTAACAATCCTTGCTAATTGTCACAGGATATTTACAATAGATATACATATTTATTTTTTATGGTAATTTAATTAACAGAAATATTGTTATTTTGGATATAGACCAAAACTTCAGAAGTCATTGACACAGTTTTAATATTTTTTGCGAATATAAAAAGTTGTGACATGTCACCCCAGACATATTACCTAATCAACATGAGTGTACAACTAATGGACATTAGTTGTAATAACCCTCAAAAGCACTGAGTGTGATGCAACAAATCACAAAACTGAAAATAGCTCATACGATCTGGTGTTAGTGCCAAATGTAGACTGAAATGAGCCGTTATCTACATAAATCCAAAATGTCAATAAGTGTAATAGGAATATGTAGATCACTTTCTATCTTCTGAATATAGAAATATTATTCTTCGTGAAAATTTTAAAAAATAAATGCATCTTTAGTGATTTTGCAACTTTCTCTTCATTGCTTTAAATCATAGCACATATCCTACATTGGCCACTATCCCATGCTGGAAGTACCAATAAAAGGTAAAACTCTCATATTATTGACATTTATTTTTGCTTTATATAAAAGTCAAAATTGTTTTATAAATAATATCTTTTTTAGTTTTGATAGGGTAATCATACATAAATATTAGTGAGAGTTACTATTATGTTAATTTTACAATAACATGCGTTTATAAATTTGAAGTTGACATGAAAATAAATAACATTCGCTGACATTAGTGTGTTTTACCATTCGAAACCTCTATTCTCTCTAACCCCAAAAATTATTAATTTTTGCTGATGAAGTTAAATTACATTTCTTACCTTTAAAATTTTCAGTACTTTTTAATAGAACTGATTATCTAAGAAGTTAGCTGAATGATATCATTAAATGTTTATCTGAAAATTCACGCTGGGAATATGAAGATCACATTTTTATTTCGAATTTCCAATGGGTACTTTCGGATAAATTAATTGTCATTTTATGGAATAAAGAAAGTCGTCATTGAACATACTTTTTTTTGTCACAATATTGAAGCATGAAATGTACTAGAGTTTGAAAGAAGCAAAGTGTCAGTGGTAGGGAAGAATGTTGTGTTGTATAGTTCTGTTTATTTGTATAATATTACAGCTATGAAGGAAAGAGCTTCTGGTTATATATATATATATATA